TGTAGAAACTCCTTATCCAGAACTTTTTGCTCTGGCCAGGAGTATAGGGATGGAGTGACAACAGTATAGTCCTGGAAACAAAGCCAAAGTGCCAATGTCACATACAAGATTTGCCCTGCTTGGGGATGCTTCCGAAGCAGGGCAAATCAAAGAAGAACAAAGGTGTAGGGAGGACAGAGAGGAGGTGGGTATTACACGAAGAATGAAACCCACAAAGTGATGCTGGAATGGAGGAAATGTGAGTAAATCTTTATATTTTACATTGAATACACCTTGTATCCTTATGATATATGGTGTATTCAATGTACATGGAAGCTATAGTAAGCTATTATAAATAATTCATTAACAAAATAATTCCAAACCAAATGTTTGAAATATATAATAATAATAATAATTGTAGTTACTGGATCATATAATATGTCCAACTCATCCATTATACAGGACTGGAGGATTCACAGTGTCTTGCACATCCCCCCTCAGTTTATTGTTTAGCTTTTATTGTTGAGGAAGATCCATGTCATTTGGAATTCAGAATCATGCTGGGTGTGTCATATGTCCCAAACCCATATGAAGAAAAACAGAACAAAACAGAACAAGTGTTAGGGGATGAGTCATTTGTTACACTGTGCATATTTGGTACTGAAAGAAAACTTTAAGCGTTATAAGAAAACTAAGAAAGTTGTTTATGTTTATGTTTAGTGCAAAACAAAATTAAAAGTATAGTATATTTTCTTCCAGGTTAATTTGTTTATTTTATGAAATTATCTATATACAAATTTAATCAGCTTTTTTATTTATATAGCCATAATTGGGTAAACTTTGCAAGTGTTTGTAATAGCAGTAATCACATAAACTGAAATGAATGGTACTACGTTTACCTTTCAGGAAATTAATATTGCCAGCATTATAATTACTTTCAAATTGCTAATTATGTGGTTTAGTTTCATGTAAAACACAAAATGCTAAAATGCTTATTTTGTGTGTTTTCTTTGAGAGTCTTTTCAGCATAGTACTCTCCATATACAATTAATTTAACCACTTAAGGGCTACATGACTGTCTAAGTTGTCGTGCAGAGAAGGGTTTTCAGTTTGCCCCCTGCCTACCAACTGCTAAAACTTGGGAGCCTCAGGTATCTTTCGATAGCTGAGAGTCTCCTATATCGGATGGGGGCCCTAGACTGATAGCAGGGCCGGCGCTACCTATAAGGCCAATAGGCAGCCGTCTAGGGCACCACATAGGAGGGGGTGCCCTGCGCCTTCATCGCCAGCCCTACTAATGCTGCAACAGCCTTAGCACTCTATAGAGAGCTTCAGGTGGCTGCAGCACTGCCTCTCACCTTCCCTTACCTGTGTAGCGTGGCCGAGCTCCTCTCCGGTCTGCGGTACAGGAACATCCGTTTCCTGTACCCGGCCATACTGATAGGAAGTGCTCACTCAGTGTGCACTTCCTATCAGTCTGGCTGGGTAAAGGAAACATAAACTACTGTACTGTGGACCGGAGAGGAGCTCGGCCACGCTACACAGGGAAGGGGAGGTGAGGAGAGAGGCAGTGCTGCAGCAAGGGAGGTGGGGGGGGATTTGAGGAGAACACACAGGGAGGGTGAGGAGAACACACGGGGGGGTGAGGAGAACACACAGGGAGGATGAGGAGAACACACAGGGGGTGAGGAGAACACATGGGGGTGAGGAGAACACACGGGGGTGAGGAGAACACACAGGGGGTGAGGAGAACACATGGGAGTGAGGAGAATGTGGGGGTTGAAGAGAATGGGGGTTTGAGAGACCACTAAGGGAGGGAGGGGTGGTTGAGAAACCACTAGGGGAGGAGGGGGGTGAGGAGAGACCACTAGGGAAGGTGGGGGAGAGCAGAGACCACAAAGGAGGGAGGGGGGTGGAGGAGAGACCACTAGGGAGGGTTGAGAAGAGACCACTAGGGAGGGTGGGTGAGGAGAGATCCCTAAGGGAGGGTGGGGAGAGCAGAGACCACTAAGGGAGGGAGGGGGGAGCAGAGACCACTAGGGGAGGGGAGGGGTGAGAAGAGACCACTAGGGGAGGGTGGGTGAGGAGAGACCACTTGGGGAGGGTGGGTGAGGAGAGACCACTAAGGGTGGGTGGGGGGAGAGCAGAGACCACTAAGGGAGGGAGGGGAGGTGGAGGAGAGACCAATAATGGAAGGGGGGAGAGGAGAGACCACTAATGGAGTGAACTCATGGGTGGAACATGTAGGTGGACTTATGGGTGTGCCTTATGGGCATACTCACCGTCAGGCCCTGGGGCCCAGACCTTGAGCTGTGTAAGGGGCCCCCAAAAATGGAGCTGCTTCCCATTCTCCCAGAACATTGAATGTTGTGACCACAGTTACAGACAGCCTCCAGAGATCCTGTTCTAAACCAGACCAGTGTAGCCAAACTGCAGCCAGAGTCCATCACCATCCTCATCTGGTTGTAAGTAGGCAATCTAGTATATTATTAGTGACACTAATCTCTAATTTACCTCACATTAAAGGGACACTATAGTCCCCAGAACCAGTGCATCTTAATGAAGTGGTTCTGGTGTCTATAGCCTGTGCCTGCAGGCTTTTTAATGTAAACACACACTGTGTGCAGCACTGGCGTTAGTTCATATGGCAGATCATATGGGGGGGCATTGTGATGTCAGAAGGGGGGGTGGGTGTCAAATTTTTAAGCGCTGAACACAGGTGACCATTGTTGGGCAGAGACAGCATGCAGAAGATGCAGCATTAGAGGTATATCTCCCTCTCATGCTCAAATTACACTGTACAGAGTGCTCCCAGAGTGTTCTGTACTGTGTGAGCTGGGAAATCTCTACTGGCTTCAGTAGTGATGTCAGCAGAGGGAATTTCTCTCAGGTGGGATTTGGGGTAGGATTAGTGCTGGATTAGAGGCAGGGATAAGGATAGGATTAGGAGTGGGATTAGGGTTAGGGTTATGAGTTGGGTTAGAAGTTGAAATATGGGTAGTATTAGAGGTTTCATTAGGTGTTGGATTAGAGTAAGGAATAGGCAAAAATATAAATGTAAATATAAGGGAGGGTGGGGGAGAGCAGAGATCACTAGGGGAGGGGAGGGGTGAGAAGAGACCACTAGGGGAGGGTGGGTGAGGAGAGACCACTAGGGGAGGGTGGGTGAGGAGAGACCACTAAGGGTGGGTGGGGGGAGAGCAGAGACCACTAAGGGAGGGAGGGGAGGTGGAGGAGAGACCAATAATGGAAGGGGGGAGAGGAGAGACCATTGCACTTAAGAACAGTAGCAGAATACAAATATCAAATATGGGGTCTTTACAGAACACACATCTTGTCTGTGAATTAACCCAAAATATAACACATAAATGAAAAATACAAAAAATAAATAAATAAATATATATATATATAGATATATATATTTGTTTTAAAAAAAATGCAAAATGAATAAAAAAAACAAATATATATATATATATATATATATATATATATATATATATAAATATTTGTTTTTTGTATTTTCTAATTTATGTGTTATATTTTGGGTTTGACCAAGGTTCGTGATAATGAAAATGCTCTTAATTAAATAGCCTGGGGGGTATACGTTCAAACATATCTTTTTTTGTAGCAATTTTTTTTCTGTGACTATTAGTAAATCTATTTCAAGTTAGTTTTGTTTAGTTGAACTTGTTGTGTAGAATGTATTAAATGCAAAATTGAGAAAAAAAATATTTCCCATTTCTTTATATTTTGTACAAATGTTAAAACAGTTAAACAGTTAACACAGTGTTAAAGCTTTTGATAAAAAATATTATAATATTTAAAAGGTGGAAGCAAATACGGCAAATGCTACATATATGGCTCTTACAGAGGATTCAAATAAATTAACTTTTTCCTGAAATCTACTTATGATGACTATGAAATTATGTTTTACCAGCAATGGCAGTCTACCTAATTACATATCTACAGAAGGAGTATAAATGGAAACTCCCCCACCCTCCTTCTTCCACACTCCTTTGTCAGTTAGACGTCATAGTTGCTTTCAAAAATCCAGAGAGAGCGAAGGAAGAAGGGAGGAATCTGGAGACACTGCGCAAACAGTGTTTGAACATTGCTTGTATGTCCTGATGAAAGTTCCGATTAGGAACTGAAACGTTGACCTGGACTTTTTTTTGACCTGGACTTTTTTTCCAATAAAGAGCGAAGTTTTGCAAAAGCCTAGAGTTGCCGGTATTGTTGTTGGGCACCGAATGTTGATGGGCAATGGGTATTAGATTTAAGGTTGGATGCAAAAAATGGGATTTGTTTATATATATATATATATATATATATATATATATATATATATATATATATGAACACCAGGGGGCTGCACTCACCTGAACATGCATAAATGGGGTGCCCTATAGACCTTCACTAAAGATTACAATATAACGGTGATAACAAAATTATACCTAATATATAAAGTGATCAACCTCGCTTAGATAACTTCCCAGTCAGCGACCTTGCAACAACCCAAAAAATATACACAGCAAGATAGAAACGGCTGATAATTTAAAAATAAAGAAATACACAGAATTTATGTATAACAGAATGTATAACAGAATTATGTGCTCTATAATTAGATGCAGTCACAAGAAGGTAGGAAATGCAGGCATTCATAAGGTGCCTCCCCAGATGGTGGCGGGGGGGCTGTTGTCCACTTCCTTAGAGGTTCACCACTGAGATACAGGACTCCAGATGGGAAGTTGAAAAATAGCAGTTTAATCGAATACAGCATATAAAATAAAAATCTTTAAAAGCAGTACCATGAATGTATGGTCGGTCCTAAGCATTTCGTCCTTTCAATTAAGACTTCCTCATGGACCTTGCATTAAAAACAAATCACAAAGTGACAAATGCCAAAAAAGCACCCAAACAACCCCCACCCACGAGTTCCTTTAAATAGGGCTAATCCCTGAGTTCATTGGTGATCCAGTAGCCATCTTCTTTCTTCCTATTGGATCTTTTCCTCACCTGGATCACCTGTTGTGCTGGTACAATCTTCCTCCGTTCTCCACATCTGTTACTTGTGTTTCTGTTGATATAACTGGAAATGAGGTGCGTTTCAGCATATACTGCCGTGCGTTCCAACTCGCACTCTTATGCATTCCATCGGTAGTTCTTACTTCCGCACTTTCCAAAAAGGCTGTGCGTTCCACCTGGGGATCAAGAAGTTGGAAATGACATAGGAAAAAACAGATGTTTAAAGATGATATCTAACAAAAGAACGTATTAGTATAACCACTCTACATTTCACAGTGATATTGAACTCCTTATACAACTGTAGTGGATTTCCTTTAGTACAAGTTATATATACATTAGTAAGACATTTTAGTGACATGTTTTTAGGAAGTGATAAACAATGTATAAATTATGAATTTCACATGAAAGTTTTTTATATATAAAAATATAAGTGCTTTAGCTGATATGTAAATCTGTATACATTTTTTTGAACTATTATTTAAATGAATAAAATGAAATAAAGTAAAACAAGTACATGGAAGCCACATATCCCCACCCCATACCCCATTCCCTTCCTTTGGATACTCCCCTTTCCCCAAATTGTTGGTACATAAAGAAAGATTAATTCAGCACCATACAGAGGTTGTAAGTAACCAAAAAGTAACAAGATGTAATCTATATCCATTACATTGGATCATATCATATTTAGTCCGGAGGAGAGCTATAAAGTATCTCAGAAAAGCTACAGAGTCACTATCATATTCTGCAGGAAATGAAGATTCCCTACTCTGATGTGCCTTCGTGGGCACCCCTTAATAAAATTCTGAGTGTCCTCCCCCCCCTCTATTGGTGATAATCTTGCAGGGAAAATATAAACTAACAAAAAAGAAAAAAAAAGAAAATTGAATAAAATTAAAAATAAAGAGTATAGTTGATAATATCAAAAAAAGGTTGCAATGCTTGTCGTCCCACATCTATTTGTTCAACTTGATACTCTGTGAGCGTCCCGCCGCACGTTTCGCCGTTAAGGCTCTTCCAGGGGAACAGTGTCTGCAAAAAACAAAGATTTAAAAAGGGCGCCCATTTTCATGATTGGACCTTCATGACGCCAACCTTCACCAATCAATAGGTGAGGAAAGAAGTGTTGGGTTGGGATCTGCTCGCTCCCCTGGAAGAGCCTTAATGGCGAAACGCGCTTCAAGACGCTCACAGAGTATCAAGTTGATCAAATAGATGTGGGACGACAAGCATTGCGACCTTTTTTGATATTATCAGCTATACTCTTTATTTTTAATTTTATTCAATTTTCTTTTTTTCTTTTTTGTTAGTTTATATTTTCACTGCAAGATTATCACCAATAAAGGGGGAAGGAGGACACTCAGAATTTTATTAAGGGGTGCCCACGAAGGCACATCAGAGTAGGGAATCTTCATTTCCTGCAGAATATGATAGTCACTCTGTACCTTTTCTGAGATACTTTATAGCTCTCCTCTGGACTAACTATGATATGATCCAATGTAACGGATATAGATTAAATCTTGTTACTATTTGGTTACTTACAACCTCTGTATGGTGCTGAATTAATCTTTCTTAATGTGCCAACAATGTGTTGTTTTTTTTTTATTCTATGTACACACTTCCTATACACACTCAATACACGCATTTATCTTTATTTCTGTATTGGTTAATACTAATATCATTATAATTTTTTCAATCTTTTATAATTTTTCTGTGGATATTTTTTGTAGATATGCTGTTCTTTTATGATCAAATATTTTAACTATTAAAAGCTAAGTTTTATTTGATTATTTTGGGGTTACTCCTGGTCATTAAGGGTTTACCTTCTAAACGGGTTCCCTATGTGCTCTTTCCTTTCTCTTATAGTTAATTAGTTCTGGGGGTTATCCCCCCCCCCCTTTTATTAAAGAGGAGTAACCTGACACTTTTTCCCTAGAAGGTCACTCAGTTTTCTAAACTATAAGGAACACAATGAGCTAAAAACGAGAATTGGAAACACCTTGCACCTTGGAGCATTGAAAATTCTGATGCTTAGTATGTACAATTAAGACATTTGCCTAGGTATTGCATATAACGATCTACATACCATGACATGTACAAACATTGCTTATTGATTTCCAGGAGAACTTTGGATATAGAGGTGGGACTAGTCTCAACCTTTCTATACATAACTAACGTTTGCCAATAAGATATGTTGTGACCTGTGATACAGTACAGTGTGAAGTACAGTACAATACAAAGAGGACAACATTCAGCTAAATCAATAGTTTGCTTGTACAGAAAAATATAAAAAAATTGTACTGACCTGAATTTGCTTCTTTTGTCCTCCATAAAAATAAATCAAATCATTATGAATAACATGTAACTTGAAATTTTAGAAAACTGCTGCTTTTTCATAAACAATTGCCAGATGGCATACATTATCTTTCTTTTTCTCCTTTCACACAAGCGGCATTAATTGCAGAGCAGCCCAGGGCTCCACTCGGCTCATCAGTGTGACAACACTTCATGACCCTGATTAGCCGTCAGTCTACTCAATTAAAAAGATCATTTAGATATTCACCCAATCATTTGCCTGCAGAGCCACCTGGGCCTCAACCAGGGGCTCCATTTTTAACATTCCCCTGCCCTCCCTCATCTCTTATAGCTTTTTAACATATCTCTAAAAGACGTAATTGAATTAAATAAAGCATCTCAGGGGCAGCTGCAACATCTGCTGTTTGTGGTATGTCAAGCCTTCAGCATTAAAAACAGTTGCATATGCTCCAAATTAGCAGGTCGCAGTGATGAAACAGTCGATGATAGTGTTTTTGTGCCAGCGTGAGAAACAGCTCACAGCTGTGTGCAATTTACAATTAAAGGATTTATCAGAGCTCAACTGTACTAGTGAATCAAGTGGTGAGAGGTCAGTTAGTGAATTAGACCAATTAGAGCTTTTACTGTTAAATTATCTGTCTTATTACCTATTGATAAAAAGGCTGTTGTCATATCTTTACTTGAATGATAAGTTAAAATCAGTTTAATGAACTGATATAATGCTTTTTTTAGTGTAATGGCACTTAGCATGTTCTTAGCAGACTTTTTGACATGAAAGTGTCTCATTTTTGATATTATCGTACATATTTAACCAGCGGACAAATTATAATCCGCAATAATTTTTCCTTATTAACAATAACTACGTTTAGCAGTTTTAGTATTTCGCTTTAAAACACCAATTTGATAACTATACACGAGTTTGAACAAAAAGGTAAAACAGTATATTTTAAAAATGATGAATGTCATATTTAAACATAAAAGTAAGCATGTAAATGCTACAGAGTAAATACTGCTGTTATACAGGAAATATATAAAAGGCATAATGCAGACCCATATATGCAAAGTGCAATCTTCATGTAATATTCTGTCATTCCTGAGTTTACAGGGCTGTACAGAGCTTTTACTGTGCAGTCTTTATATTATCGCATAATATGAAGGGGAGTAGGAGAACAGTCTTGAGGTACTCATATCATTAGGGTGTGTGGGTGTAAAATGCAATAACAAATAATTCTAAAATATATTTATTAGAGAATAATGATGTTCTAATTTGTGTTGCAGCAAAGTTATGCCAGTAATGCAATTTATTAACTGCTGTAACTTTGCTGTGACGTCAATTAGTAAAAGATTCAGAACAAAATGAGAGCACTCTACAGGAAAGCGTGGATATCACAAAGCCATATGCGATTTGCTATTTGCTAAACTGTGTCATGGTTTCACAGGCTTAAAAAAAGTCCTTCTGCTGGCGTATATGTTAAATGCTATGCCTAGGTATACCAGAGAGATAGTCTCGCAGTGAGCAGTAAACTGAGTCTAAAAATAAACTAAAGACTAAAGTTACTAACACAAGTGTGAGGTAACATTTAATTAAACATGACTAAATGGCTCACTCACAAAGATAAATTCAGATAAAATGAAAAAACTAAATGTGTGGTCAGTTATATCCTTAATACACAGATGGAGAGGAGATGCTGGGTCTCCTGGCCCTAATTCATATGGCTAAGGGGTTAACCCCTTAATATACAGAAAGCCAGGAGATGCCCAGTCTCCTGGCCCACAGATGGTTAATAAAAGGGGAAAGAGAACAGGAAAGGAGAATAAATAAGAATTAGGATGAAGAAGAAAAAAAGTGAAGAAAAAAAGACCTGAATAAAAAACAGCTGTGGATTTCCTTCTCAAGTTTTATCCTGGATAGTAGTCAATATATGACCTTTCCTCATACCAGTATCAGTTTAAAAATTGCCCAATGGGTCCCCCCCACAAATTATAAGTTGTTTAAAAAAAATAAAACTGTAGATTCATTTTGCTTATGGTTTGTTCTGGAAACATTAGAATATGTAGGTGCCCTATTAGAGCCTGTTGTAGCGCCCCTGCAAGCAGTGTGATTCCTGAAAGTTTTTTTTTTTTTTTACAATACCATCTGAAAAGGTCTAATGAGGAATTCTTCTCACTCAATAAATCAGCCAAGATCATTGAAAGTCTTAGCTGGTTTTCAGTATATTATTACCAATTGCTGTGCGTTGGCTAGAGATGCGAAAGGTAACCAAAAGTGATATTTTATCCAGTATATCAGAAACATCTAAAACATGATTTTATTCAAGAAAGAATCTCACAATCTTGTCCAAACTTTCTTAACAGCGAATCTACTTATGCCAAAATCAGCCATCCTGCACGATTAGTTTAGATTAGATTAGAGTTGTATGTTTCACATTTACTCAAAATTTCTCAAAAGTATTTTTCAATGCATTATATACAGTGGCAGAAAAATGCTCGTTAAGGGTCTCATTAATGCTCTGCTCAGTAATTTTGTGCACTTATTGTCATGTTTTGCAAAATAATTATGATAGTATGACCTTGTCGCCTAAGGGCTTTAAATGTTATTCCATCTACAGTTTATTTTTCCTTTCTGCTTTCTAGAGTAATCAAGTATTTGGAAAATAAACTATATTTGTCTTTTATATCATTCCGTAAACAGTGAGCATCTTGTACAGTGGTTTCCAAACCTTAATCTTAATGACACAGTTTTACTTACAGTCCAGCAGTGGTATTTCTAGAGTCAGAAGTCACCTGGGGCTTCAGCCCAAACATAATTTGTTAATCCCTTTTTAAAACCCCATCCCTGTCCTCTACCCTTGGTCAGGCACAG